AAAAAAAATAACAATACGGTCTAAAAAAAAAGATCGAAAAAAAAATAAAAAAAAATTGGTCTTAAAAGACCAAAACAATGAGGATTATTTAATAATTTAATAAAAAAAAAAATATAATTTTTTCAGTTTGGGAAAAAAAATAAACTTAAACGGGAAAAGAATAGAAAAAAAAATTTTTTTGGGTTGAAAAAAAAGAGAGAAAAATTTTTTTTAAAAAAAGAAGTTAAAAATATTTGAAAAAAAAATCCGACAAAAAAAATTAATAATCAAAAAAAAGATTGGATTTAGTTGATTGGAATAGTTTCAGGCGGGATTTCAACTTTCAAGTTACACAATTCAAATTATTTATACGGAGACTAATCCAAACGTCAAACAAATTTTTTTAGTAAGTAGATGTGTTATATATATGGAAATTTGATGCAAATCTTATTATTGCACGAAGGAGATGTTGCAGTATTGTAGAATTTATTATTTATTTATGTGTTTACAAATACATTATTAATTTAAATATAAAAGCAAAAATACCATCATAATGTTCTATTGTTAAAAAAATCTATATTAATCTATATAATTGAAAAATACATCTCAAAAAAAACATCCGTTATAGGGATCTATCATTATTGCTAAAGATAGTTAATTACTTATTGCTTATCAGTATTAGAAAAATGTCAGTTACCGATCCATTATTATAAAAAAATTTATTTATTATATAGATATAGATTATACTGATCTATTGTTATTCCTATAAAGTTAATTACCTATCATTATAAGTATTAGTTAAAGGGTGATTACCGAGAATCAAAATTAATGCTCCCGTACGTTAATAATTAGAATGAATTTGCCGATCAAGTGGTCTTAACTATTAAGCGTAGATCAGGTGGCAGGCGCGAACACATTAATAGATTATATCAAATGTTACATAACATTAGTAATTAACAATGTACAGTATATGTATATCGAACAAAACGTAATAGTTCAGGTGCAGAGGCACAGATAAATAACACATTGGACAATTCAAAGATTATTTATATAGGCTAATCTAAACGCTAGTCACACAAACACAATTTTTTTAATTATATAGAATATATTAAAAAAAAATGAAAGTTTATTTATGGTATATTTTTTTAATTGATTTTTTAAATCAAGAGAGAGGTTTCTTATTTTATTGGTTTTTTATAAAAAAAAATATTTATATAAGCGTTATTAATTAAAAATGAAATCACTATTTTATAATAAATAATTTTTTATAAGGAAATATTTTGACATAATTATTTATTATTGTTGTTTTTTTAAGAAATATTTTATATTTTTTTTTTTCCTCTTTTTTTTTTTTATTTTAGCAAATAAAAAACGAAAGTGAATGGTAATTATTACAGAATATATCAAAATTTTTCCTGTCTTAATGTTTATTATACTAGGAAACAGGAACCGTTGGAGCGTCCGAAGTATTCAGTATAATTACATGATCATCAATAATTGTACATTTAATACTAAAAAAAAATTGTAAGTCAGTGTGCATGTCCATTTTACATTGCCGACCATATTAAAAATTATTCATCTAAGATATCTCATTAAAAACTTTCATTTTAACTTCTAAGTTACAATATATAGTACTTCCTCTATCAAAATAAGTGAAAGTTTAACCCTTTCTGCTTAAAGTTTTACTTATTTATTTATTAAAGTTTTATTGATATCACGGAGTTACGCGTTTGTATATTATTTTTTAGCTATGCAAAATCAATATTAATATATTTTAACATAATAAACACTTAACACGTGACTAAATTTGTATATATGTAACACAAAATTTCATTCATCGATCAGGCTATAGTACAGAACGACATTGCATTCGAAATGCCTAGAAGTATATGTCCTCATACTTCGGACAATAATTATCATCATAGTAATTACGTACTTATTTATGTCTATCATCATTTTATTACGTATTATGTTGATCATTTTTTTTTTCATCAAATTGATTTTTTCATTGTCACTCTTTTTTTTTCATATATATTAGCCCACCATCCGTAAAGAAGCTGACTGCGGATTCAACACTTGAAGCTTGAAGCTTGAAGCTGGAACTTAAGCTTAAGCTTCAAGCTTAAGTATATGAATAAAAAATCTTGGAAAGGTCTAAACCATATTTGGCCTCAAACTAACCATATTTTGAATTTCATGGTTAGTACGATCATCAAATTAATTAAGAAAATAACCACAATTAAAGTTAGACATATTACACAAGATTTTCGGCATTCTTTTCTTCAGGCTAATAACCCTAAAAATAAATACCCCTGAATTAGTTATATAAGGAGTAACTTTTGGGAGAAGTTTAAGCGAGTTCTTACATCCTCACATCATATATTCTTTATTTTTGAGAATTATTTTTATGATGTAATAATTTTAACCCAATAAATATTATATTTTATAACCCAATAATTTGTGTCTTAATATTTTTATGTAATAATAAACCAAGCAATGCATTTTTTTTAATAAAGTTTTTATTTTATTTAATTTTAACTAAATATCACTTGTCATGTCATATGGCACTGTGTACATATGATTTTGTTAATGATCATCATTATTATAAAAGATCTTTTATTTACATGATTTATACTTTATGATACTTTCCTTTATTTTTTACATTTTCCTTCTTCCTTTTTACCATCTTTATTTTTATAATATGAATTAACCTGAAATATCTATTTTATTACCTCCTTCTTACTATGAAATATCTAAAAAAAGTCTGCTTGAATCACTTAATATACCTGATACTGCTTTTGATCAAGCAACAAAATTATGTGTTGGAATACAATTTAATCATTAAAACTGTGCATATTAGTTTTATTAGCTTATGGGCAAAATAAAAAGTATTTAAGTAATAAAAAGTAAATTTTTTCTTGTTAATTACTTTCATATCTTTTTATCTCTTAACTAGTCAAAAGATGTCTCAAGAACTTTCCAATAGATATAGTCAACTCATTTCTTACTTAAGGGAAAAGAAAATTAAGCCATATTACAGTTTTCTACTTCATTATTACAGAAAAAAATCATCAAATATTTATTACATATTTCAATAATATCTTGGAGAGATCTTAACAATACCTGATCCAGTTCTTCTTATTAGAGGCTAAGAGGTTGTTAAATAAAAACACCTTTGATACATTAGAACATAAGGGCCATTTTTTATTATGCAAAGAGAGGGTAACTCTTAATTGAATAAAGTATGTCATTGTCCAGGAGAATTACTGTGCTGGGTTGTTGGTAATTATCCCAGTTTGAATTGTACTGGCATCTTCACATTACCATTGATAAAGGTTTACTAATCTTAGATGAAAAATTGGTTATTTACCTTCTTTATCGCTAAATAAGATAGCACATACTGCTAATATTAACTTCCTTTTATTAGGTTAAAATAGAATGACATAATGATGGTTTGAAGAATTACTGGAAGGAAATAATCTGGGAGTGTGAGAAGGTAAACAATCTGATTTATAATTTTAAAAAATTTTTTCATTTTTCTAGAATTCTTAAAGATTTTTTTGTGTGTATTTTGTTTGTCAATCAATTTCTATTATATTTACAGAAACAAAAACTTATATCATAAAAATTGAAAGAGATCTTTTTCTTTGTTTATTCTCTTAAGTAAATGAAAAAATTAATATTATAATGAAGGTAGAACTTGCCAGATTTTCTAACATAATGATTTAATTTCTGATAATGGATCAGAAATACAGTCTGATCTCAGAAGTGATTTGTATGAGGATTGATATTGATTAAAGCCAAAATGGAGGCCTTAGTGAGGATACTTAAAAAAATACTGCAAATAGCATTTCCTTGAATGATGATTCTTCTAAAAAGAAGAAGAATCATCATAATCTTAATCAAGTTAATTATAATAGTTGAAGAATTAGGCCTGTAAGTTTTATAATTATAAACTAATAACAAACTTATTCACAAAGTGACAAAGATTTTTTACTCTTTGGACATTTAAATATATAGGCTTACAATGATCAATACCACATACATCATCACCATCTATACTAACAGATTTCTTATATACAGATTTCCTGATAATAAATTTGCTATAATATACAATTGCCCTTTTTCATTGCCCTAATATGTCTTATTAAATAATTTTTAAAATTAATTAAAAGTAGATTAGCAATTTTTTATTTTATATTTAATTACAAGCTTATTAAAAAAATATCTAACTTCTAAATCCATATTGTTTTAATTTGGTCAAATTAATTAATAAATAAAATTTCATTATTATAATTGCTTAATAAAAATTTTGAAAATAAATTTTATAAAAGAGCTTAGAAAAAGAAATTGTAATATCAGTTATGAATATTCCTCAATTAAATACTATTTCTTATATACAAGTATTTCAACCCACAGATAATCCATTATCCATCAATCCAATCCATTTAATATCTGTCATCTGTTAAACTGATTCGTCTAATCAAATACAATCCGGATAATCCATAGTGACAGATTGAAGATTATCTGGATATCCTAATGGATCTATCTGGATACTCTTCAATAATCTAAATATATGGAGATATTTCCAAAGTTTAAGTGGCCAAAGAACTTAAGGATCTAAAGAAGAAAAACAAAATTAGTGAAAAAATAAAAAAAAGTAACAAAATACGAAATAAAAAAAGTTAACCTAACTATTGTCTCTGGTCAAAGAACCAAAGGATCAAGGATA